GCGTGCGAACTACACGTGCGTGCGTGCGCCGAGGCAGTGAGAGGGCGAGCTTCCTGACTGAGGGCCGAGCCTGGCTCCGGCGCTGTGTACTTGCGTCAGGAAGGGGCAGCAAGCGGCGTGATCATCGCCTGAAGCTGCTGTATCCTTGAGTAGACTTCTGACCCTGAGTCTCCGCTACACCCGCTACATTGGTCCAAGCCTTAGCAGCCGGCCGGACTAAGCCGCAACAAGCCGTACGTCTTTCAAGTTGAAGTAATTGCTGACGTCATGCTAGCTATGAGTGTATGTTGTAGCAGCGGGTCGAATATCGCATAGCACATGAAACATCAACTATTGGGCGACATGAGAATCACTGAAAGAACTGCGCTCCGTTCACTCAACCAGCGTATCAACGGCGAAATATACAGCTGTGGCCTGTATAGGGCTCGCACCATACGATCTAGTCCTCGTCCATGGCAGTGGTGCCGAGCAATGAGTTGTGATGAGTCGCGAGGTGCACGTACACGTGCGTGCGTGCCGTCGTTTGTTGTTGCGGCAACGGATAGCAGCGTGCTGTGCGGGCGTCCGTGTGTGTGCACGTACACGTGCGTGCGTGCGTGCGTGCGCCGCGTGTGCATGTTGCATGTATACGTGCGTGCGCAACGTACTACGTGCGTGCATGAGTGTGTGCGTGCGTGTGCACTGTACACGTGCGTGCGTGCCGATGCGAAGCGTGCGGTACAGCATGTGCGATTCGCGTGCGCGTCGCCGTGTAGAACCTGTATCGGACGCTGCGTGCATCAGACTAAGCGAATTCCCAGTGAATTCCCATAATGTAATTCCCTGTTTTGTATTTAATGGCCAATAGGGGGAGCGTGCCGCTGCAAATTTGAACTGACACCTGCGGTGAAAGGACGGGCCGTCCGGGGGCACCACTAGTCAAGAGTAGATAATAAATATTATCATTATTATCTACTCTTGATAGTATAGATATATATTTATAATATATTACATAAGTTCAGCGCGATATATATTTTGCGCGCGCGCCAACGGCGCACTCCAGCCCCGTACACGGTGTGCATTCGGCGCAGCGCCGTTGGCGCACACCGTGCGCGGGGGCCCGTAAGGAGTTTGCAAGCTAATGTTGATATATCCTTTACCGTATTAAATAAATGAATAAATAAATAAAATGCAATAATTAAACACCACTATAAATATCATATTATATATGAAGAGCTGATTTCCAAATGTTTTTCACTCTAATGTTTGAACTGGATGATACTAAGCATGAAAACACACCTGAATGAAATCTAGTGTACATACTTGATTTTTAATTAATTTTTGTTTTTTAATAAAATTAAGATTTAGCGCCTTTTGGAAACAAAAATTAAAAACTCATCAAAATAAAAATGAAAAACTAATAACTAACACCAAACAGAGGTAATTTATAACAGATTTATATAACAATGTTAGCTTACTTAATATATTTTACAGTTTGAGTTGTTACAAAACCAAGAAAATGGTCAATGGAAATTACAGTGGTGATTTAGTAATTAGGCAAAATGTTCACCATACCTCCACGTACACGTACGTACACGTACACGTACATTCTGCTCAACAATGGTATAATCAATTAATAATCTTCACCAGAGTCATTTCATTGGTCTTCCTGATCATTAGTTTTTATATTTTGATGAGTTTTTAATTTTTTTTCTGAAATTCGCTAAATCAAAATTTCATTAAAAAACAAAAATTAATTAAAAATCAATCATGTACATGAGATATCATTCAGGTTTGTTTTCATGCTAAGTACTAATCACTTAAAATATTAGAGTGAAAAAACTGTGTTTCAGGCAAAGAGAACATTACCAAAATAAAAATGTGATGATATCTGCTAATGGATTTAACACCTTTTGGGACCAAACTCAATGTTTGGAGGCTGTTAGTAAAAGGATATTCCAACTTTTAATGCAAATGGATATCACACATGATGTAGATAGGGCTATAGTGTAATTTGATGGTACTAACTCATTTTTGACCAAAATGGATTTAACACCTTTTGGAAATCAGCTCTTAATTTACGTTCGCATCATTTAGCCATCAAATATTTCGAGCTGAGTCTGAACCTTGAATCT